GAGTAAGTTTCTGATTTTTTTGTTGTCATGGTGGAACCATTGCATGTAATGTTTGATGATTGTTTGGGTGAATTGGGTATTTTGGAGTAGATTAAGGTTTTAAGCTGAAAGTGGATTAATCGACAGAAGTTGATGTTTTATTGGATGATTTTAGAATTAGTCGGGTAGAATTTATGTAGAATGCTAAGTTGAGGTTGTTGGTACTGATCTAGAAAGAATTTGTTGAATTTTGAGTTGTTATTGGGATTCTGCACAGTGGGATTTTTCTGAAATCGCAGACACTCGCTAGCAGGTTCGCTAGGCGAGTGAGTAGCGAGCATTCGCTAGGTGCTCGTTAGGCGAGCTAGGTGGCGAGCCATTCCAGTGGCCATTTTTCTGTACTCGCTAGCAGGTTCGCTAGGCGAGTGGTGTAGCGAAGGATTCGCGAGGCAAAGTCCCAGCGAGGTGGTAGCGAACACTTCCAGTAGCTCAGAAGTGTGATTCGCGAGCAGGTTCGCTAGGCGAACGTGTAGCGAGCGTTCTCTAGTAGCGAGCAAGGTAGCGAACGTAGCAGGATTTTGTTTTAATTGAGCTGTGTTCATCTGATGTTGATGATTGTGATCTGTTTGATGTACAAAGATAGTGCAAGGATACCGGGTGTATGTTGAGTGTTATAGGGTTGTTTTGTCGATGCCTAATGTGATTAATTCGATTGATGATTGTGTGTTATATGATGATAGATCAGTAGGATCGTGTGCACCTTGTGTGTTTAATGATTGTGTGTTGTATGATGGTGGATTGGTAGGATCGTGTGCACCTATTGTGCTTGATGTTGGTGTATGCATAGCATGATGCATGATGGGATCAGTAGGATCGTGTTGCTCCTGGAGGAGGGTTGATGGCCAAGTGTCCATCGGCGATTGCGGAGTTGAATCGTTGCCCGAATGGAGTGTATGCGATTCACCCGTAATCGTGGTAGGGATAGATCGTTGCTCGGATGGAGTGTATGCGATCTATCCTGAGATTTGATTATATGTGCTCAGGAGGAGCGTGGTAGGGATAGATCATTGCCCGGATGGAGTGTATGCGATCTATCCTAAGTTTAAGTCGGTACCGCATGCATGTGTTGAGTTGCATTTGCGCATTATTGTATGTTGTGATTGATGTTTGGACAGTAGGTCGTGTATGATGATTTGTGGGGTGATGATGTATTTATTTACTGCCTTTATTTCATGTAAATATTTACCGTTATATTTTGATCATGTTTACTCACCCCTTTGTTGTTGTTGTGGTCTGTGCTTCTTCGGAAGTACAGATAATCCAGGTGTCTAGCTAGTTGGATAGCGGTGTGCTGATCGAGTCTAGGATGCTCTGATACGTAACACGGGGCTTTGGGGAGTTTAATGCCTATCTGATGATTTTGTTTATACTCTGTGTCGTATCGTGTTTGGATGATGTTTTGTATATTTTGGGCAGATGGTCAAACTTGATGTATGAGATGATGTATATATATGTATATATGTTGTGACAAATTTCTTTTCCCCTGCTTATTTTGAAAATATCTTAATGAAATGTTTTGTGGAAATTTTTGAGAAAAGTAATATCCCACTTTTGGAAGAGAAACTCTGATAATTTAATTGATTTATTCGCATTTTATTTAATTTTGGAAGTGGGGTGTTACATGGAGCATGGATGACACATAAGGCTTGAAGAGAATTGGCTTGAAAGATTTGGCATTTGTGAAGGCATTATGAAGAATTCAAAATGATAGGGTTAAACAAGGACCGTGATTGTCTTAGGCTTAGGAGTGAAACTAAGTTTGCAACAAACTTTGTATTGTAATTTTGGAATTCCAATAATAAAATGTATCATCTACTCATAATCCAAACCACACTTGTATTTGTCATGAATTTGTAATGAACCTTGATTCTTGTCTTCTTAGAAACTTTTGTGCTCATTTGTGTCTTCTTGAATTCCAACAATGAAAACAAAATGACTCGAACTTGGTTTAGGATGTAACTTGGAAACAAATTGAATCTCCTGGCTTATATTTTAGAAACTCGGCTTGAGATTATGGCAGCTTGAAACTCTATCTTGATTCCAATTAATGCAAATACCACATGAGGCTTGAATCACGAAGGAACTCCCAAAGCACTTGTATCACATCATTTTTAAGTCATGGCTTGCACTAAGTGAAGTAAACACACCATCCAATATTGTATAAATGAACATAACTTTAGCCTTGAGTGAGAACTTAAACTTATGTAGCTTGAACAATAATGAACCATGTAAATGAATCTTTCACTCTTAAGACTTTCATCAAATTTGCTCTAAGTTACTCTTCATGACATGGGTCGAATAAACTTCACTAAAACCCTTATTCCAAAAAAACCTAGAGCATGATGATTCAAAGCCTTCATTGTAGCCCTAAATTCCTTGAGGTATCTTAATGAGGATGACTTGAGAGGTTGAGAAGAAACAAAGCCTAACTTAACAAAATTCTCAGTTGAAATACCTTGTCAAACTCAAACACAAGAGTTTAAAACCCTATTCATGCCATCAATGAATCTTGTTAGAGGAAAACCTTGCAGCTTGAGGTAAAGTAGGTTCACATTGATCAAGGTCCAAGAAACCCTAGCTTCTAACCATAAATGGTGGAGGAACAACCTGAATTATCCCTGAATGATACTGAAAGCCTCACAACAATAGAGAAAACCCTAGCTTGCACAAAATGCCCTGATCCCATGTCTTAATAGCTCAAAGAAATGCATGGCTATGATTGTTATGACCTAGAATGATATGCAAAAGATCAAATAATCTAAGAGTAAAATTTGGGGTACAATAACTGCCGTCAAAGATGTCAAGAGCATGAGAGGTTGGGTAGTATTACTCACTGCTTGGGCGTTCACACGTATACCGTTGTTTGCTCCTATTACTACAGTAGAGCCATCATTTCCATATGCTAAAAGGTATTCCTAATATATAAATGCACTTTATTATCTTCTTATTAAACTATATCTAACATTAATACTTTTTTTTAAAATGCAAGATGATGTCAACGAGGTATGAATTACAAAAATAATCCTCATCATTATCTACGTGGGTATCGAGTAGCAATAGGGCACATGGAAGAAAAAAACGTAAGTTTGAAACCATACAACCTATATGTTTTCTATATTTCTTATTTAGATTCTAACTTTTATATTTTTTGCGACAGTTTATATGAAGACTTCAATTCCCAGTGCCTGATCTTAGAGATAGTCGAGTCTGGAGTGCGACAACTTATCTTATTTGTTTCTTTACTGTGGAGATGCATTAGACAGATAGGGTCAAACTCCAGTTTGGGTTTGAACAACAAATCTCTTCCCAACCAAGGTGTCTAAGGGAACACCATGACACGACGATGGTTAAAGCCCAAAAAAATCCATTGGCAAGATTTGCACAAAAATGAGGTAAAAGAATGGAAAAGAGAAGACATTTGGTATTGCAGGGGGGGGCGGTAGTTGGTGAGCCTAAGCCAAGTTGAGAATATCTGAATTTGTTACATGCAATTTCATTTATGCATGTTGGTCCTAACCAATTTTTGAATGACCCCGTCAACATGCCTCCTCTTCAAAGCAACAAACTACAAGGTCCATACATCACGATGTTCCACCCATGTACTCATCCCAATTTGGGGGACAAACATCTTCATTCGCCCAACAAACATACCATCACTCACAGACCACGCAGCAACACAATTTCTATACCACCTCACCCAAACACCAAACTCCTCACACTTCATTCCCTCAAACAAACTACTACTACAACAACCCATATCAACATCAATCCACCCATTAACCACCTTTACAGTTCACTCCAATTCCTCAGTCAAACTTCGATCACTCATACCCCAATCTCAACACCAAACATTCAACACTACATTCTCTCAACCCACATCTACCTTCCCCACTGATGATGTCTATTACCCACCAATTCAACAAACTCAACTTAAAACCTACACACAACCAACACATTTATTCCCAAACTTCCTTCTCACAAATGAAGAACTTATGGATATGTCAAATTATAGTATTCAAAAAATGCTTGGCATGGATGCGGACCCCCTACAACACATCACAATCAAGATTTGTTTTCTGATTCATTTCCATCACTTTCAAAAAATGAAACTGAAGAGTTGGATAAAGAAAAACGAATAAAAATAGACACCAAGTGTGGAACAGACAAACACTATCATCAATGACATGTTATTTCCTTATAATCAATAAAATGTATTTTACTTCTTTAAATTTATTAACCGCATAATTCGCATAATTATAAATGTATTGAAAAAAATAATAATTATAGTCAATTTTATTTTAAAAATTTTCAATTTTATATTAATAAAATATATTTTAATATATTTATTAAATTCTAATATTAATATAAGTTGATTGAATAACAACACTTTAAAAAATATATATTTCACTCATTTGGCCATTCATTGGCCGAACACACAACTCAAAATTTCGTGTGAATGAAACATCCAAAAAAAAAAAAAATTAACGGGGCAAAATGGAAATTCTTTTTTCAAATATAGGGTGAAACAGAAAAAAAAATCCTATCAATCAATTAAGAAAAAGATAGATATTAATGGCACAAGGTACTTACAAATTAAGCCCTAGATGATTCAAGGAATCAAAGATACACCACAAAAAACAAAAGAAAAGCACACAAACACATGAGCTATGAGTCAGTGCAAAAGTAATTCTAAAGAAGAAAAAAATTGTTAAACATAAGAAAAGCTTTTCTTAATTTCCCATAATTAACAAAAAAAACGGATAGAAAATCGATGAAAAGCCACACGTGATCCCACACAACCCCACTCTAACATAACACCCCATTCCTGTACAGCCTGTAAATTGTTTGTTAGTACTAGTGAAATAAAAATGCCTCACTCAAACTGAACAACCCCATAAAAAATTCAAAAAAATAAAGATAGGGCCAGCAAAAGCATGAAACGACAGAGAAAATAGAAATCATCATCCGAGTAAATCCATTTGCTGACATAGCTCTTTTCTTAGCCGTTGAGAGAATAGCCTGCAAGCATCCACGCTCAAATCAACGGCTGCTGCTAACGCTACAAAAGCTGCAGCATCCTCCGTGCAATTCACGTGCGGCACACTCACCTCCACCGTGGGTTTGCTGCACCTTCCTTCACCCTCTATACTCGCCGACATAACAAACCCTCTGTACATACAATAAGGCCAAAGCCCGTAACCATAATCACCACTTCCTCTCGGACTACACACCGGCGACGTCGCACTTCCCGGCGTAGCACGACCGTTTGAACCTCCTCCGCCGCAACGGCTACTTAAATCAAGAACAAACTTTCCTCCTTTCGTCAAACTCAACGTTGACTCCGCAATAACTATCCCGCCGGCACTCATTCCACCGTTAGTTTCCGGCATAAGCTCAAACCGATAACCGAGTCCATCAGACCCGCCACGCTCACGCCATGCTTCAAGTTTCCCCCAGGGCTTCCAGGTACCATCTCCAGGACGTAGAATAAGCCACGAACCGGGGTTAGAGCAACTAACCCGGTCCGAACCGGGCGAAGCAACGAAAGGCGTTACCATTGAAGCAGCCGCAACCGGCGAACCGGAAAGATCGTGAACCGTAATGGACCATCCCTTCCGTTCCTTCCCTGAACGCTCACGTTCACTTCCGAACGAACTTAACCAGCTTCTAGAACTTCCTACTTCCGATTGCAACGATCTGAAACGAAACGGAATAACCGTCACGTTAGCAAATTTTTACAAGATAATACAAACACTCAACTTGCAACAGAAAACGGTTACAGATTCAAAAATTTCAAATCCCTAAAATTGACTCCTGAACCACTTCTAAAATTCAACCAATTCAACGAGGTTAAAGTGCGCATTCAAATTTTCAATTATACAAGATATTGATATTTTCAATTTTCAAATCATCTTTAACTTTTCATTTTCTCTATTCATAAAGAGTAAAGTATATACAATAAAGTGCGCGAAATGCGTTAACACGGTGAACGCGGGTAATGTCTCTTCTTAAAACCGTTGAAATGAAAGATGAAGATTATTGAGTCAATTTACCTAGAGCGTTGATTACGGTCACCACTGTTGTTTCTGAAACTGAACTTGCACGTGAATACAGGCTGCGAAATGTTGCCTTGGATCTGAAAAACTTGCGGACTACACTCCGGCTCGCCGTCGAACCGGAAAACAAATCTAGGATCAGGTTCAGCTTTAACATTCAGATGAAACTGCGCAGAAGCGCCTTTAGCATCCTTACCAACCGTAATCCATCCATTGTGAAACACTGTTGCCTTTGTCACAGCTCCGGAGAGATTCAACGGAACAGAGACCTTCCCGAGGAGTCTCCCGGAGTTAACACCACAGGTGGTCCCACTCCTGCCAGTATAGATCGAGATTTTAAGGCAGAGTTTCTTAACGAAGATTGATTTTCCGGCGAGTTTATCGAGATCAGCTTTACTGAGATGGAAAGTCGCGGCGATAGGTTGAATATGTGAGTCAGGGGAGTGATTTTCGTGAGGTATGAAAGGAACTTGAGCGGATTGTAGAGGGAAGTTGTTGAGTTTGATTTTGCAGAAACATGGGGAAGAAGAAGGATGAACGACGGAGCGAGCAGCTTTGGAAGCAACCGGAATTTTGAGGGCGAGATTACCAATGGTGAGACGAACGAAAGGACATGGATCCATAGCAAAAGAATTAAGAAAGAAAAGAGAAAAGAGAAAAGAGTGTTAAATGAGGAAATGTGGGAGTAACATGATGTGCAGTGAAAGTGTGTGTTTCGGGTAACGGAAAAGGAGGAAGAGAATTGAAGTGGTTGAAGAGGTGAGAGAGGTAACATAAAAAGGGTAAAGAAAAAAAAAAGGAGGGTAGGGTGATGAGGGTGGAAGACAGCTGGGTACAGCTAGGGGGTGTCGTTAGAGTAGTGGCTGGGGAACCTAAGTTGGCGGTATCTGTTGCTATTGAGTTGAGGTGAGGTCCTTTACTGGGCTCCACCATTCTCATTCATCCTACTGTTTTACTTAAGATGCAGTCCATTGGATTTTGTTTTCATTTGAATTCTCGTTATTGCCCTTGCCTTTTTATATTGTTTTTGTTGTTACTGGTTAGTAGTACAGCGTAGGGGTAAAGGTAAGGCAGAATGATACGAATCTGCCACGCCACACGTGGAGTTGCTCTTCATTATGGTTGCCACTCAACCAATACACAACCATGAAGCTATTGTATAGGGATTGGTGTGGGATGCGGATAGTATTCGTTTCAAATTTTTAATGTCATTTAAATTATTTATTTTATTTACTAATTTTGGTTTACAGTACTGTAATTTACTAATTTTGTTTTTTCTTTTGACTATGTTTTGTTTATTTATTTAGTTATTTTGGTTTATAGTATTTCATTAAACTTAGTAGTATTTTTTTTAGTTTAAATTACAATTCAAGATAAAAATAACTTCTTTACATTTTGAGTATACCAAATTTACGGTTGAGATGAGTCCTAACATTTAAAGGGAGGTTCTGATGTAATATACTTACAATTTGTTTTGATCTTTAATAGGTTAAATTTAGTAAAAATGTAAAATTTGAATTCTCAATTATCAAACTTAAATTCTTTTTAGAGTTTATTTTATTCTTATTTTACTTTTATTTTATTGAAAGTATTTTGTCTTTACACGATTTATGGTTAGCGGATTATGCAATTTTATGATTTTTTATTTAAAATATTTCGCATTTACATGTCTCATGTTTAGGCTATGCGTACCCGTATGTGTATCTTTGTTTAGTAATATTCATACTCAATAACAACGATCCTATAAATAGGAATCTCTCGAATAACTTTGAGAATAATCGTTAAGATACGAGGGAGTTTGAAGCAATTGTAAACAAGAGTCAGATAAAGAGACAATATCATTAATGACTATAAATAAACATTTTCATCTTACTACTGAAACCTATATTACATGCAACAAATGAATGAATAGGATAAATAATTCACAAGTCTGATACAACTAAGGCTTTATTGACACCTCGCTAGTAGAGTTACAAAGGTCTGTTATTTTTCAAGTACATTTGGCATCCATTGCAGAGCAATATGCATACAAGTTCCATTGTTAGTCCCAATTTCATTTCATGATGGTGAGGGTTGTCACTAGTAGTACCATCAACGACTGAACTTCCATAGTGAAAATGCTACATGTTATGGAAAAGTTGCATCCTCAAAATGAAACACTGCAAGACAACATTCGTAACCTGCAGTAACAACAACTGCAACCAATTATTGACGCCTTCAAATTGTCATCTCTGATAACGTTCTAAGGGAAAAAGTGATCCTCGTGAGCACATCATCGATATCAACACTTACATGGTGATTATTAGTGTGAATAAATTTCTCAAGTGTAAGCTCCTCGTCGGGACTTTGAAAGACGCGGTCTTGCGATGGTATATGAATCTTACTAGATTCTCGATATCAAGTTATCATGACCTCGTGAGAAAGATGATCAATTAATTCTCAACTAACAAGCATGGAAAAGTTACTATAGTAATTATTCAACATACCACAAGGACACTATGAGTCCTTTCGAATATATTTGCTATATTTAATGATGAAACTATAAAATTGGTCAATTCAAACCAAGAAATATTTATCAGGACCTTCTAGAATCGTCTCAAGGTCAAATACGAGCCCCTCGCCTAGAAGTCGGCGACTTTGATGGAGGAAATCATGGCAAGGGTGGAATATTACATAAAAGAATAAGAAATTAATGTTGAAAAGAGATCCCGAGATGTAAATGAGCGAAGCGGCAAGAAGCCCACGACTCGTGGGCATCAGAAAAATCATGTAACAATATTAGGTTAAGAAAAAAAGGTGTGTTCAAATTAGTTCGAATTCTTTTTAAAAACTATACACATTTAAACATGCGAAGTGAACAGATTCTACAAGAGGTATTCATGGATTGTCTCTCTCTCTAGATAGTGATAGGTGGTGGTGGCGGCATGCCAAGGATGTAGTATTTTTGGTAGCCTCGACATATTATTCCCTTCAGGAGAATAATCTCCCCACTAGTCCCTCAAATAATAGTGTAGATTTAACTATTCCTCTCATCTGGTTAAGTTGGTATCCTTCTAAGATGTTGGTGTTCTATTGGAAACTTTTTTGTACTTGATAAAACTATAATGAGTGACAACTCCTAGTTGTATAAGGTTGTCTGAGGGTTTTAGGATTGTTGTGGTGTTAAAGCTAGCTCATGTTTTCATAAATGGGCAATTAATATAGATAATGAGTAATATAGCAAGATAATGGACGCATGTTATTATAAACGGACGTACATTGTAACTAGTGAACGACTAATGACTATGTTTTAGGTGATGATATGATTTTCCTCTCTTTTATGCATCTTGTGTAGCCTATAATATATTCTTAGCAAATATACTAGTACACAGTCCCTCAAATAAGAGATTTTGTAAAGGGCAAAGTGATTTAATCTTAAACCCCTCTGCAGAACTCTAAGTTGAGACCCTTAAGCAAGACCTTTAAATTTAGTCCCTCAAGAGAGACTTTTAAGTTAAGCCCCTTAAGCATGACTCTTAATTTGAGTCTCTAAAATAAGACTTTTAAGTTGAATTCCTTAGGCGATACTTTTAAGGTTAGTTCCTCCGGCGAGACTCTAAAGTTGAGTCCCCCAGGCAAAACCCTTAAGTTGTATCCCTTAGGTGAGACTTTTAAGTTTAGTCCCTCAGAAGAGAATTTTAAGTTACCCATATTGCTCAATAGGCAGTGTCACAGCGGGAAAAATTTGAGGCATGCTCGAAAGCAATAAAGTCGTCACCAAAATTTATTTGAATAGGGGAAACATTTATAAAACCTTTTATAAAAGGGTCTTTGAAATCAAATTTAGGTTCAAAAGTTCATTATGCATAGGAAGTGTGAATAAGGTCTCTTCTACTTGGTTTGGTTGTGATTAAAACAAATGCATATCAATGAAGAAGAAGATAAAAAGTTTTGAAAACTAGTGTTTATCAAAGATAAAGTTGTCATGAAGAATGAGCATTGGAAATCAAAGAGAAGAATTGAAATGATCATCAATTTAAAAGTATATATTGTGATTCGTTCTATATTACTTTGAATGCTCAATAAAAAATCTCAAACTTCATCGACAAACTTCTTAAAATAAAATGCATGAAAACTATTGAAGTCTGCCTGCAAAATTGTTGTTTTTTTAGAAATTTGAAGTGGTAATCGATTATAGGATTGTGGTAATCGATTACCAGTTTACAAAGTTTAAATTTTATGAACGCTGGTTAAGAGTAATTGGTTACAACTTCATGGTAATCGATTACAACATGTAAAGTTGCAACTTTTCATCAAACATCAAGTTTGTAAAGCATGGCAAGGCTTCATAGAATCATTTAAAATTTATACATCCATTCATAGAGATGTTTATGGGTGTATTAAAACATTATACACCAGAAAACAATACACCTCTTTCATAATCATTTTTATAGCAATTCAAACATTCTTTTAAAATTCCAGACAAAAGTAACATCTTTATATTTTGACTCGACTAAAATTAGAATTGAAATAAGTTGTACCACTTATAAAGAGGTAGTAACATAACATGCTTAAAATTTGATTTGATCTTAATTCGTTTAGTAAAAATGTTAAATTTAGATTCTCTGAAATAAAACTTAAATTATATATATATATATATATATATATATATATATATATATATATATATATATATATATATATATATATATATATATATATATATATATATATATATATATATATATATATATATATATATATATATATATATATATATATATATATATATATATATATATATATATATATATATTGTACATTCTATAAATTAGTTTGACCAAATGATGTATAAAATTGGAATAAATCTATTGTACATCCCAGAATTTTCTGAAGACGAGTTAGTGGGAAATTCGAGGACAAAGAGACGAGTAGGTTGGACGATCATACGTACAAGTCGGAGTCTGATTAGGAGTACTAAGCCGGGACCGATCTTGTGCATACAAGTCGGGTTCGATGCGAATGTTAGGAGTACCATACAAAGAGTTGCAAGAAAAAGTGCAAGTTAAAGAAGAAGGATCTGGGCACAAGAAGAAGTACCCTAAGCCCAGACCTAGGGACCGGACAATGATGAGGCCATCTCGGCGTCCGTTTGAAAAAAAGTATGAGTATACACCACTAAATTTCAGAAAATAAGATATCTTAATTAAAGTTTATCACCTCAAATTACTTCCTATAATGTGGCATATTAGAGGGGTATATGTTGTGATGGGAAAAGACGAGAGTGCATGGTGTGCATGGTGTGCATACCACAGACTCCATAGACACCACACATAGAACTACCATCAGCTAAAAAAAGAAATTAAGATCTTAATTCAAAAAGGCCGACTATTGTCATATGTTAAAGTCATCGGAGGACAACCGGGAAAAATAAGTCCTCCTTGGGAAGACACCAACTCGGAAAACCATACGCAAAAGAAAGGGAAGAGTGCGGAAGAAGTCCTCAAAGCCCGAGTGACTTATCATATGTTAAATACTATTGTATAGGGATTCGCAAAAGGAGGAGAAACTAGTTCATCTAGAACAAGATACGTTTGGTCTGTGATGCATATCGGACAGAAGCTTCTCCATAGGGGTAGGAAAA